AGATTGCCGAGAGTATAGAGGGATTGCCATGAATGGTTAGTGGTGATTTCAACATCTTTCTGCATCCCGATGAGCGTGTGGGTGGCCGTACGGACCGGTCACGGGAGATGTGGGATTTTGCTCAGGCGGTGATGGACTGCGAGTTAATTGACGCTGAATGTGATGGTGAGCCCTTCACGTGGTTGAGGGACGGACTCAAAGAGAGGTTAGACCGTGCCTTAGTTTCTGAGGCGTGGTCGAAGGTGTTTGCGGTTACGACCGTCACACACCTTACTCGATTCGGGTCTGACCACTCACCCCTTCTCATCCGGTGCCGATTTTCGAGCACCCGCCGCCGCTCTTCGTTTAGGTTCCAAAATATGTGGGTTCGCCACCACTCCTTCCACGACACTGTCAGGGATTCCTGGCTTCAGCCGACTGGGCTCTTCGGGATGCGCAATCTCGAGGCAAAGCTCGGCAGACTGCGGCGTCGGTTGAGACAATGGAACTGGGATGTTTTTGGAAATCTTCATCAGCGCCTTGCTGCGGCTCAGAGTGCGCATGCGACGGCTGAGCGGGCCTATGACCTGGACCCCACTCCGGAGAATAGAACTGCCATGCACCACTGCCACGCCGAGTACCAGCTCCGACTCCTCATGGAGGAGGACTTCTGGAAGCAGAAGGCGGCCGTTCGCTGGGTGGCCGAGGGCGAGCGCCACTAGGTTTTTCTAGGGCTACGTTAGGCAGAAGCGTGCTAAGTCGTACATCCATAGTATCGAGGCTGATGGGTCATCCTTGACCCAGGAGGCTCAGATTCGGGAGTCGGCTGTTGCTCACTTCCAGACCCTCTTCACCTCTGACAGAGGGTCCCTCGTGGCTCCGACCGCTTCTTTTTTCCCCACCATCCCTCCTTCGGTCTATCTCATTGGCCTCTGTGAGCTCCCGAGCAGGGAGGAGGTTAGGGATGCTGTATTCGGGATTGATCCCAACAGCGTTTCTGGCCCGGATGGTTTCTCCGCCCTCTTCTATCAGGTCTGTTAGGATCTTGTCGAGACTGACGTCGAGGAGGCGATGTTGGATTTTTTTCTTCGGCCACTGGATGCCGGATTCCTTCACGTCTACCTCTGTCGTCTTGATCCCCAAACGACCCAACCCCAGCTCTTGGTCCGATTACAGGCCCATCAGCCTGTGTAACGTGACCAACAAGCTCATTTCGAAGATTCTTAACAGTCGTCTTTCCCCTCTTCTCCCCTCCCTCATCTCTCCGAACCAGAGTGGATTCGTCAAGGATTGGGTCATTAGTGATAACATCCTTCTGGCTCAAGAGATGATCCACGACATCTCCCGAACGGACTGAAAGCAGGCTCCGAATATCGCGCTGAAGCTAGACATGGCTAAGGCGTATGATAGGGTTGAGTGGCCGTTTCTTAGGGAGGCGTTGGCTAGGATGGGATTCCCTGAGCGTTGGATCAGCTTTGTGGAGGCGTGTGTGGAGCATTGCACGTTCTCGGTCCTGATTAATGGCAGCCCCTCCGATTTTTTTCCCTCCTCTAGAGGCCTTAGACAGGGAGACCCCCTTTCCCCTTCCCTCTTCGTTCTTGCGGCGGACTACCTCTCTCGCTGCCTTGACGGCTTCATCCGCGACTCTCCCCATATGACCTATAGCACCCGTGGCTATGGTCCTACATCTCTCACCTCTCTTATGCGGATGACATAATTATCTTCACCCGGACGGATGATGATGGACTGGTCGAGCTTATGCGCCTTTTAGAGCACTATGGCTTGGCCACCGGTCAGCTGGTCAGTGTGCAGAAGAGCACCTTCATCCTTTCATCTGCCACCGTGGACAGGTGGGCTCAGCGGGTCCACGACATTACTGATTTTGCGCGTGGCAACCTTCCCATTACCTACCTCGGGGTCCCTCTATATAAGGGCAACCTCACGAGAGCGCTCTTTGCGGGCGTCAGGCAGAGGATGATCGACAGGATCTCTGGTTAGTCGCATAGATATCTTTCCTTTGGTGGTCGGCTAGCGCTGATCAAGAGCACTCTTAGCTCTCTTCCGATTCACTTGCTTATGGTCCTCGACCCCCCTAGGTCTACTCTTGACGAGATTGACCAGATTATGGCTCGTTATTTCTGGATTATAAGGACGGGTCTGGGAGGGGGAGACGTACTCACTGGGTGAGTTGGGACTCCATCTGCCGCCCCCTCCCCGAGGGTGGCCTTGGCATCTGCCGCCTCAGGGACATTGTTACAGCTTTCTCATACAAGCTGTGGTGGCGCTTCAGGGAAGGAAAGTCGCTTTGGGCTCAGTACCTTCGCGGCAAGTACTGCCCTAGACGTGCCAACCACCCTTGTTGGGTCACGACTGTTGATCATGATAGCAGACAGTGGCGGCGCCTCACTAGGATCGGGAGGCGAGCCCAGGATCACATCTTTTGGGTTTTGGGCGGGGGTGATGTCAGTGTCTGGGATGAGTGGTGGGTAGGTGATAGGCCGTTGTCTAGGGATAGGCAGGTGTCGCATTCCCCCTACCTGATCGTGAGCGACCTATGGACGGACGGGTCGTGGGATAGGGGGAATCTTGATAGGGAGTTGGGGGCTGGTGCGGGTTTTAGCGAGCAGTTATTAGATCAGATCCAGCAGATCCCTATCTCGGGGGACGGTTCAGATAGCATGAGGTGGAGACTTACATCATCAGGTGTGTTTTCTACTACCTCGGCTTGGGAGCAGATAAGGCTGAGGGATCGGCCTAATCTCTTCTTCGGGGCTATCTGGAGTGACCTTTTCACGCCTACTATTTTGGTGTTCTTTTGGCGCCTCCTCTTGCGCCGGATACCCGTCGACACTGTGCTACACGCGAGAGGGATCTCCTTCCCTCTCGGTGTGTGTGTTGTTCTGAGACTGGACGCCATGAGACTGAGACCTTTACCCACCTTTTTCTAGAGAGTGAGATTGTGAGGAGAGTGTGGGAGCATTTTGCCACTTGGACTCATATATCCCTACCCACCACATACAGCTTTTTTGAGCTCCTGAGTTTTTTCTCACAGAACACACACCTTAGACACGTGGGCTTCCTCGTTCGTTGTCTGATCCTTTGGTTGACCTGGACAGAAAGGAATAGTGCGAAGCATAGGGATATTACTTTTATGTTTTCTCACATTGTTTTGCAGGTAGAGAGATACATTCACTCCTCACCGCATTGGGCAGGCTCACGGCCCGAGACTGGACAGGCTGCACGCCACCGCATCGCTACATGGTGGCCCCACCACCGCCTGTTCGGCCTCCACGGGCCAGAGCTGTTGTTTGGCTTCGACCTGACTCTCCGTGGGTCAAGCTGAACACAGATAGCTCCTTTGATCGCCACACTGGACTTGCCGGAGGAGAAGGCTTGATTCGGGACCATAGCGGCGCCCTCATCACCACCTTCCATGCGTCCATTCAGGCCTCCTCGAGCTACGATGCAGAGATTCAGGCACTACAGATTGGCCTTCAGATTGCTGTCCACCTCTCTAGTCATATATGGATCGAGCTGGATGCTGCGGCTGTCGCTACCCTCCTGACTTCGAGCCATCAGGGCTCGTGACAGATTCAGCACCCGCTTCTGCGCATTAGAGATCTACTTCAGTCAGTCCATCACAGGATCACGCACATTTTCCGTGAGGGGAACAGACCGGCTGATTACCTAGCCAGCCTTGGCGCCACCATACCAGGCACACATACATTCCATACCGACACTGCTCCACTCCGTCTTCGCACTCTTGTACGGATGGACCAGCTTGGATATCCAGCGTTCCGCTTTCACTAGTTTAGGATTTCTGTTTTCATTAGTATAGACAGTTATTTCGGGCATCTGTTAGCCCGAAGATCGACTTTATATTGTAGTTTTTGTTTCTTTTTCGCTTTTCGGTTTTTCTTTCTATTTCTTTTGTTTTTGTTTTTGATTGTCAGACTATGTAGACCTTTGTATCTTGTTCGTTGACATTTTGGGCTCCCGTTTTTGGGGCCCTGATCTATGCACAGGTTGGGGATCCAGCCCAATCCCCCGTCCTTCCGGGGCGTTGTTTGTTTAAAAAAAAAAAAAAAAAAATTTAACCTAGCAGTAAAAACATAACTAACCTAGCAACAAACATTTAACCTAGCAACAAGAAAGAAGTAAGCTAGCAACATCAGACAACTAACCTAGCAACAATAAACAACTAAACTAGCAGCTAGAGATAACTAACCTAGCAGGAATAAACAACTAAACTAGCAACTACAGACAACTAACCTAGCAACAAGAAAGAAGTAAGCTAGCAACATCAGACAACTAACCTAGCAACAATAAACAACTAACCTAGCAGCACAAGACAACTAACCTAGCAAGAAAAGACAACTAACCTAGCAACAACAAGAAACATTTAACCTCGCAGCAAAAAATAACTAACCTAGCAACAAGAAAGAAGTAAGCTATCACCTACAGACAACTAAACTAGCAACTACAGACAACTAACCTAGCAACAAGAAAGAAGTAAGCTAGCAACATCAGACAACTAACCTAGCAACAATAAACAACTAACCTAGCAGCATCAGATAGCTTTTTGTTCAACCATGGCCCTTTCTCCCTCAACCATGCAACTAGCTCCTCCGCCCAGTCAAACCTCGAAGACGGATCTGGTGCTTCTCATTTCACAGCCAGAGATCCGAGAGGCCTTCTCGGTTTTTCTCGCTCAAAGAAAAGCCGCAACCACGTTAGAAAGAGACAGAAACAATTTGGAAGAGGGCGAGATCCAGCCAAGCCCCGATTTTCAGCAACAAGGTCACGGAAAAATTCAAAAAATATTAAATCAAGACAAGCCGCAGCTCAACGGCCGGCCCTCGGTAGCCCGACAAATTAGCTCCAACTCACCGGTCGGCTCGCCTCAGGGGCCCTCGTCGGAAAATGGACCATCGCCGGCCCAAGCCGGAGGTGAATCGCCGGATTCTCAGCAAAAAGGCCAAGGAAAATCGGTGGAAACGTCGTCTTCCCAAATCGTGGAGTTATCCTTTGGGTTGAAACCAGCAGGAACCGGCTCAAAAATTGGAAAACTGTCACCGCCGAACGTCCTCCCGTCGGAGAGTTTGACCATGGCCGCCGCAACCTCAGGGTTGAATGGTCAACAAAAAAATCCCTCAGCTCCTCATTTATTCTCGGGCATATCATTACTGTCTCCAACCCTAACAGGTAATCCCGAACCTGTCTCAACAAATATTATTCTGGGCCATTCTCTCTCTTCATTTCCTGGGCCCAATTCAGCTCCTCCTCAACCCTCTCACCCTCACATCTTACAGTCCAACTTAAATTCGGACCATCAAACCACTATTCCACCTCTCTCTCCTCCAATTCAATTTAGCCCATCCTTGGGCCTTTCTTTATTCGGCCCAAAATTTCAATTTAATCCCTCTCAGCCCATCATCCCCCCACAGCTCTCTTCTCAGCCCAGCAACCAAATCGTCTCTCCCTCCCAACCCACCTTAGAACCCGTCATCCCCAAACCCGTTCCCCAGGTTACCTCCAAACAGCACACCATCCAATCTAATACCTTCCATAAAACCGACCCCATTAAACATCCGGCAGGCACCGTCAACCTACCCTGCGCCGGCTCCAAAGTTGAGACAGTTACCGGCAATTCCCATCCGGCCGGAGTTACACCTGGGACTGCCCCGAAGTCGGCCATAGCAGCCGGAATTCTCGGGCCACGGCCTAATTCGCCTCCCCTAACGGATAATCTCGCAGGATCAGCCATCTATACTGCCGGAATATCTGAACAGGCCATCATGTACGTGCATGAAGATGGTGTGGTTGTGATGCCACCGACGACCTCCTCCATGATGAACCACAATACAACCGGGCCACCTCCGGCATCCACCACTGGTCCACTCTCATTCCGAGAAGCTCTCACCGGGAAGAGAGATGGTGGCACGGGAGCCCCGCGACCTACACTAAAGGACTTCGCCTTTGACGGGGGATACGAGCATGCCTGCGGGACCATTATTCGCTTGGAGGGAAACAAAGTGAAGGCCCGATACACTGAAGCCGAATCTGTTGCTCTTGCAGGTAAGCTAGCTAACACTCTTGTCTTTAAGTTTTCATATGCTATCCCCGCTCCCCGAGATATATCTGCTGGGTTAGGAAAACTGGGCTTTAAGGGTAGAGTGTCGTCGAAGTGGTTCAATTTCAACCACCTTCTAGTCTCGTTTCACCTCCCCGAGGACTATAACGAGGTCTGGCTTAAGACCTCCATTCATGTGTGTGGATGCCCAGCTAGGGTGTTCAAATATTATGCCGGGCTTAACCCGAAGACGGAGGCGCCGGTCGTCCCCGTGTGGTGCCGCCTTCCCGGCCTCCCACCCCATCTTTATGACCGTGCTGCCATCACTACACTAGCTAAGTGTATTGGGCAGCCGATTCGTATCGACGCCCCGACGGCCCTTCAGACGAGGGCTAACGTGGCGCGATTTTGCGTCGAGATAGTTCTGAGAGCTGAGCTTGTTCATGAGATTGAGATTGAACAGGGCTCGGAGTCTCTTATTCAGCGGGTGATCTATGAGAAGATCCCCGCTTTCTGCACCTCGTGCAACCACGTGGGTCACGTTGCGGCCGATTGCTACATCAGTGGCAATATGCCACGGCCCGCTCTCCCACAGCGCCATCGTGCGACCCAGTAGGGAACCTCCACCAGCCGGAGGGACCCCAAGGGAAAGGGCAAAAGCCCTCTCCGCGCGCCCGAGACCCCGAAGGGGTCTAAGGATAAGGGCAAGGCTGTGATTGTCGATACTGCCCAAACTGGAAAGGATGCTCATCCTAACCAGCCTAAGCAGTTGGCCTTAGTAGGTCCCAAGCCCAAGTCCACGGGCTTTCTCCCTAGACAGACCTTACAGACGGCCTTCAAGGCCAACCACTCCTATTTTGCTATTCTCTCCCCTGAGGCAGAGAAGGATGTTGTTCCTTCCTCCAGCAGGCCACCTAAGATTACCGATCTTACGCTCCTGGATGACGATGACCTCCTTGGAGACGACATGGACCAGCAGAACGCCACACCCAGGGGAGAGTCCATCCACCTATCCGATGATAGTGTGCGCGATGCCAGTCCTTTGACCGTGCGCGCATCTAGCCCGGTCCGATCTTCGGATTTGCGGGCTACTGCCGCCACCGCTCCCCTGAAAGGGGATGAGTCGGCCCATCCCCCCCTGCTGGGATTGGGAGCTCGGTCGATCTTATAGCCATCTCCCAGCCTCCCTCTACCGGCGAGCACCCGAGTGCTCTGCCTGCTGGACTCCCTCTTACACCCATTCCGGAGCAGATATGCGGGCTTAACCGCGCACAGCATGACGTCTCGTGCGAGAGCTTCGCCTCTAGTGCTTTTCTTCACCTTGACAGACAGGAGACAGCCCGGAGACGGGGCAACCCGCTAGTGCTGCTATAGGTCAGTCTGTCCAGCCAGACGACTCACAGGCCACGAGTACATACCGAGGCAGACAGACCTCGAGGACCAGAGCCACGCAGCACACGAGACGGCGGACGATCTCCCCTGCTATTGGACCCTTCCGCCGCACGACACGATGGACGATCTCCCCTTCTTTAGGTGGCCCGAATCAGCCTCGCCATAGGCGGACTACGTCCGGTGGCTCTTGCGACCGTTGATATGTCCATCACATCCATTACTTGGAATGGCCGTGGCCTGGCGAACAGGGCTACTCTCTCTCACCTTCATTCTCTCATTCGTGACCACAGAGTCGATTTTGTTGGCTTTATTGAGCCGATGATTCGCACTACTTCTTTTGACCACTACTCGCGTCGTCTGGGCTTCCACGGGAGTGGGTAATATTTCGCACAAGATCTGGTTTTCCACTCGCGTGACTACACTTGTCGGGTCCTCCGCGACACCGATCAGGTGCTTCACGTAGAGATTTCCGCTGGCCACCTCCCGGAGCCCATCTTTCACACCTTGGTTTATGCCAAGTGTACTAGGGTCGGCCGATATGACCTTTGGGACACCCTGCGTGAGATTGCCGAGAGTATGGAGGGATTGCCATGGATGGTTAGTGGCGATTTCAACATCTTTATGGATCCCGATGAGCGTGTGGGTGTCCGCACGGACCGGTCACGGGAGATGTGGGATTTTGCTCAGGCGGTGGCGGACTGTGAGTTAATTGACGCTGGATGTGATGGTGAGCCCTTCACATGGGTGAGGGACAGACTCAAAGAGAGGTTAGACCGTGCCTTAGTTTCTGAGGCGTGGTCGAAGGTGTTTGCGATTACGACCGTCACACACCTTACTCGATTCGGGTCCGACCATTCACCCATTCTCATCCAGTGCCGATTTTTGAGCACCCGCCGCCGCTCTTCGTTTAGGTTCCAAAACATGTGGGTTCGCCACCATTCCTTCCACGACACTGTCAGGGATTCCTGGCTTCAGCCGACTGGGCTCTTCGGGATGCGCAATCTCGAGGCGAAGCTCGGCAGACTGCGGCGTCGGTTGAGACAGTGGAACTGGGATGTTTTTGGAAACCTTCACCAGCGCCTTGCTACGACTCAGAGTGCGCATGCGACGGCTGAGCAGGCCTATGACCTGGATCCCACTCCGGAGAATAGGACTGCCATGCACCGCTGCCACGCCGAGTACCAGCTCCGACTCCTTATGGAGGAGGACTTCTGGAAGCAGAAGGCGGCCGTTCGCTGGGTGGCCGAGGGCGAGCGGAACACTAGGTTCTTCCAGGGCTACGTTAGGCAGAAGCGTGCTAAGTCGTACATCCATAGTATCGAGGCTGATGGGTCATCCTTGACCCAGGAGGCTCAGATTCGGGAGTCGGCTGTTGCTCACTTCCAGACCCTCTTCACCTCTGACAAAGGGTCCCTCATGGCCCCGACCGCTTATTTTTTCCCTACCATCCCTCCTTCGGTCGATCTCATTGGCCTCTGTGAGCTCCCGAGTAGGGAGGAGGTTAGGGATGCTGTATTCGGGATTGATCCCAACAGCGTTTCTGGCCCGGATGGTTTCTCCTCCCTCTTCTATCAGATCTGCTGGGATCTTGTCGAGACTGACGTCAAGGAGGCGATGTTGGATTTTTTCGCCGGCCACCGGATGCCGTATTCCTTCACGTCTACCTCTGTCATCTTGATCCCCAAACGACCCAACCCGAGCTCTTGGTCCGATTACAGGCCCATCAGCCTGTGTAACGTGACCAACAAGCTCATTTCGAAGATTCTTAACGGCCGCCTTTCCCCTATTCTCCCCTCCCTCATCTCTCCGAACCAGAGTGGATTCGTCAAGGATCGGGTCATTAGTGATAACATCCTTCTGGCCCAGGAGATGATCCACGACATCTCCCGAGCGAACTGGAAGCGGGCTCCGAATATCGCGTTGAAGCTAGACATGGCTAAGGCGTATGATTTGGTTGAGTGGCCGTTTCTTAGGGAGGCGTTGGCTAGGATGGGATTCCCTGAGCGTTGGATCAGCTTTGTGGAGGCGTGTGTGGAGCATTGCACGTTCTCGGTCCTGGTTAATGGCAGCCCCACCGATTTCTTTCCCTCCTCTAGAGGCCTTAGACAGGGCGACCCCCTCTCCCCTTCTCTCTTCGTTCTTGCGGCGGACTACCTCTCTCGCTGCCTTGACGGCTTCATCCGTGACTCTCCCCATATGACCTATAGCACCCCTGGCTATGGTCCTACCATCTCTCATCTATCTTATGCGGATGACATCATTATCTTCACCCGGGCGGATGTTGATGGACTGGTCGAGCTTATGCGCCTTTTGGAGCACTATGGCTTGGTCACCGGTCAGCTAGTCAGTGTGCAGAAGAGCACCTTCATCCTTTCATCTGCCACCGTGGACAGGTGGGCTCAGCGGGTCCACGACATTACTGGCTTTGCGCGTGGAGACCTTCCCATTACCTACCTCGGGGTCCCTTTATATAAGGGCAACCTCACGGGTGCGCTCTTTGCGGGCGTCAGGCAGAGGATGATCGACAGGATCTCTGGTTGGTCGCATAGATATCTTTCTTTCGGTGGTCGGCTAGCGCTGATCAAGAGCACTCTTAGCTCTCTTCCGATTCACTTGCTTATGGTCCTCGACCCCCCTAGGTCTACTCTTGACGAGCTTGACCAGATTATGGCTCGTTATTTCTGGGGTTATGAGGACGGGTCTGGGAGGGGGAGACGTACTCACTGGGTGAGTTGGGACTCTATCTGCCGCCCC